TTTTGCCAACTTTTCTTCTGTTACTTATCATATTGTTGTTGAAGCTCACTTGGTTTACAATTGCTCCTCGCGTTCAATCGTCCACCTCCGGGCAGAGGACCAGTGCGTGCGTGAGTGCAATCTAATTTGATTGGGTAGTCCGTTTGCAATTCTCCGTGCACACCAAGACGTCCGAACCCTCCAGACCACGACGCCCCGGTGGCCCGCAGCGTGTCCCTGTCTCTACGGTCTAACCGGCCGCGCTACCAAGATCTTGCCGTGACCGGGTGCCGCTGTCATCAACTTTAAGATCCCTGGACAAAACAGCCGGTATGTGCTTGAACCTAGTGTTGCTCGGGAAGGGGGGAGAGGCGATGAAAACAATGCGTCATGTACTTCCTACCGTCTCCCAAGTCGACCGGGCTCGATCTCGGTCCAAAAACCAACCTACAATACAATTTGCAGCGCTGGCCGACTCTTGGGCTGAGTCTTGGCTCGGCATCGTTCTGAGATCGGCATCCTCTTCCCAAAACTAGGTCGGTTTGTGCCGCAGAAGCCCTCGGGTCCCTCCAGCAACGTCTTGCACGTCCGTTCCTTAGACAGTCACATACGCACAATGAGCCAGCACAGAGAAGCTCATTTCGGGGTGTTTCACTCATGATGCCATGCCTCTCCTCTATACCCCTCCAGAAACCGACCGGCGAACACTGGCCAAAGGATGCAAATCTCGATGCGGCTATCAGATCATTGTCCGTATAACCACGCCTAATGACGCGGTGCATAATAACCAACCACCTCACCCCCCCCCCCCCCCCCCCCCCCCAAATCACAAAACTGGCCGGTGCTACATTCTACATACAAACCATTCGTAGGATTTCTCAAGTTCATGTTCGAAACACCAGGCCATGTCAATCAATGTATCTACAAATCACTCATCCGCAAATCTCACTCCATGCGTGGGCCGCTCAACACTCTTGCCTTCATTGTCTACCGTAAAGCGGACACGCTGGGTAAGTCTCTCGTCCGATTTGGCCGACTCCTCGTTGCCCTTAGGTTCGGGGCTGCGGGAGCGCTTCAAACCATTCGACAACGATCGGTTCGCCGACTCGGATCCCCTCCCGCTCTTAGTAGGACCTTGACCCGTATGATCAATGCCGCCCAGCTTGCTGCCGAAAATCGGCTGAGGGTGGTTCAGAGGGACTGTCTGTGCTAGACAGTCGTTCTGATCTTTTGCGAGAGGAATGATGCTGGCATTCCTAATCCAGTTGTAGATGGGACGGTCGTCCAGGATGGACTTACACTTCCAGTGCTCAATCTGGGACATGCTCTTCTTGCGCTCAACAATTACTTCCTCGATGCTGCCCCGCAGGACAAGCGTCTCAACAGTCACAGGCTTCTGCTGGCTGATACGCCGGGCTCGGCCGATGGCCTGCGTTTGGATCTGTGGGTTCAGAACAGGGTTGATGAAGTATATCCTCGAGGCCGCCTTCATGTCAAGGCCAACAGCTGCCTGCGTCAAGTCCATGAGGATGACACTAGAACACTTTAGGACTCGGAGCTCGAGGTACATGCAGGGAATACACTAACCGGAGTTCGGGGTCATTGTTGAACGTGTTAATGTAGGACATCTTCCGCTCGTATGAGAGCTTCTTGGCATAAATGAAATGACGCACATGAATCTGATCAATCAAGTCAGATTGTCACCGTCACTGCACAAGGTGACTCAAAAAACTCACCACCTCAAGTATACCCGCCAGGTACCACGCCACGTTCTCGTTTTCGTAGAAGATGATTAGCTTCTCCCGCTCCTGGTGCTCGACAATGGCGTCGATCAGATAGGAGAGCTTGGCGGACACAGTGGAGACGAGCCTCGCCTTCTTCAAGTCGTCTGGAAGGTCCTGCTCTGGAGGGAGTTGGCCTGGTTTCTGCAAGGTGTTCGGTCGGAGATGGCGAGGGACTCTCTCGCCTCCCAGGGCCGTATTGCCTGCGAGAACACTGGCATTTCTCAGTGGTTGTGTATCAGCCTTGGTGACTTCTGCAACGGATGTGATTTGCCCGGCTTTCTCCTTGCGGCCCTCCTCCTCCAGCTTGCCATTCAGGAGGCTATTCAACTTTGTAGTGTCGTTCTGGGAAGAAACGATCAGCTTTTGTACGGCAAGCACCATGCCCGCATCGGTGCAGGTAGGGTTCGTCTTTCTGTCGTCCAGAGACCAGGCTGAGCCGACACCATTGGGTAGAAAGTCTTGGATGAAGATGGGCACCTCGTTGAATTTGTTGCTGTATTCTTTCAGCTGGTTGTCGATGGCAGTTTGGGCAACCTCCATGGCCTGCTTGAGCGAGACCTCATCCTCTTCGCTGATGGGCACCTTCTTCTCCTCGACGAATGATTGCGCAGTCTCGAGCGACTTCTTGATTTCATCCTTGGTAAAAAAAGAGCCTCCAAAGAAACTGGCTTGCTTCAAGTTGTGAAGCAGCTGAAGCAGGGCTTTCCGCTGATGCGGATCGAAAAAGTAGTCCCGGTCGACTCTCTGAGACTGAACGGCATTGAAGATGATCATCATCGAAAATATGTTGAGCGACAGCTTATCCTGGTAGGATCCATCCAGTACAACTATCTTCTCGTTTACCGATGGAAGTAACGTGTTAAGCTGGGACAATCTGTGCCTGATGAGTAGCGAGTTCAACGTAGCCCGGAGAACGCCTTTGCGACCGGTGCTCCGGGTGCTGTGCTGCGGCTGCATCACGTAGACGGCCCAATCCGCGGGGGTGTCTGCCGTCTCGTGCACAGAATTGGACCAGGGCCGAGCATTGAGGTACAGCGATGCTATCGCCCCGATCTTCTCAAGATCCCCTTTCTCCGCCTCGGCCAGGGCCGCTGCCCTGTTGGCAGTTTGAGGGGTGTCGGCAGTGACGTTAGTGAAGTGTTGGTCGTCCACGCCGAACAGCCCAGTAGCAGGCGTCCCGGTCACGATCCAACGGGCAGACAATGACATGGCGTCGATGGCAAGAAGAACGTTGCTCTTGTTTGCGATTTTGGCATAACCCAGCTTGTGGCCTTCGTCGACGATACATCGCTTGAAGTGAACCTCAGATAGAGGGCAGCCCAGCATCATTGTCTCTCTCCATATCCTGTCCAGCCGTGAGTTGGTGACCAATACTATGTCATACGTGGACAGGGTCCTGGGATCAGGGATTTTCTCGTTATGACTGGTGAGCTGAAGAACTTTCAAACCAGCCGGGCTGTCTAGACTGACGGTGTGCTTCTCGATCTCCTGAACCCACTGCCGTACCAGGTTGTTGGGCACAATCACAAGCGACGCATGGCTGTGCCAGATCTTCCTCAGTACTGGTTTTATCAGAGGATCGCGGCGGCTGAGACGCCTGGGTTGGCGAGCAGGAACGTGGTAGAAGCCGGGGTTGCGATTGATGGCATCAATGCACTTGGAATAAACCATCTCTTTTGGCTCATAGACGTTGAAGTAGAATTTCCAAGCGGCCGCTTTGCTGGTAGCAGAAGATGCAGCCATATCTGCTAGCGAACCAATCCGCGTCCTCACGCGAATGTCGCTTCCCTGGTGTAAGTCGGGAGTGCGGGTACCCGAATGCCTGGAGGCAAGGATAACGGCCAGGCATATGAGCGTCTTGCCAGAGCCCATTTGTTCGGCCAAGATGCCACCTCTGACCCCTTCGTAGAACCTAGGCTCTTTCAGAAGGACGCCATCGCTGAGATCGTAGTAGAAGGTCCCGCCGGTCTGGTCGGTCCCCTTGACAAGCCTCGGGTCGAGGACCCGGCCAGGCTGGCTTTCGCGTTGTATCATGACTGCAGCCGAGCGCCGCTGATAATCATACAAGACAGAGGTCTCCCTCAAGCCTGGAAGGTCGCCATCCAACAAGCTGTAGGCAGCTTCTCGATCAGCAAGGTTGGTAATAGTGTCCGGGGCAGGGTCGGGAGAGGGGATGGTGTTGAAGAGTTGAAGCAGGGAAAGCGATTCGTCATCATGGCCAGCATCCCCTTCGAAGGTGCAGTCCAAAGCTAAACGGTTACGAGATGGCTTGAAAGACCAAGCTTCCGGCGCGAGGTCCAAGAGGGAGATGAGGGACTTCCGGGACTTGTGCAGCTTGACACTGGCTCGATCAACGAGTCGGTTATCAACATCGTCGGGCAAAATGTATATTCTTGCGACGCCGAACTTTTCACTGTTAGGGTTGATCCTAAGTTCAACACGAACCCATTTCTCTGCTAGAAGGTTCCTGTAGTTTTTGAAGGATCCCGACCTGAGGAAGATGTCGTCAACCTCGTCAAATGATCCGGCGGAGCTGCCGTTGACGGCCAAGGGAACGGGTGCAATGCATGTCCAGTGACAAAACTTCTCCCGCAACTTCCTCCATTCGTCGTCTGTGAGTTTGCTGCCCTCTTGCGTGATGATGAGGCTCCCCAAAGGAATATAGCTCAGCGGTGACGACATGAGGTGAGGATGATGCGCCACCCGGTGGGCGCGGCGTTAATTGTGATGCTCGGTACGAGTCGTCATCCGGCGGAGGCCACGTAAGTTGTCCTCCAAAACGAGGCAAGAGCAAGTTTTGAATTTTTGGAGCCGCGTGGCTGATGGAAGTTTGGGATGGTTGATGGTGTTGTTTCAGTGTAAGAGGAAGGAGCTAGTTGAGTGAGTTTACGTTAGGTAGATAGGTAGGTAGGCAGCGAAAGGTAGAAGCCTGGTACAGTGTCAGTGGCCGATGAGCACAGTCCAACTACGCACAGCTGGTCACACGAGATACAGTGCGGCGTAGTCGATTCGAGTAATGCGCGGCGGCTAAAGTCTTTATTGGGGAAGCACCTCGCATTCGCCATTCTCCCAACTTCATCCGAATTATTTAGTCAAAGAATTCAACCCGACAGTCTGGCTCTCCAGCACGCAATTTCCCTTCGCTATTGGTTCAAACCCCCCCCCATGTTCCCTGCTAGCACACCCCAGAGAAGAATAACGTTTTTCTAGTGTGCATCGCCGCCCTCCGAACGAGCCGACTGGTGGACCGTTACACCTTGTTGCTCTAGGGCTGGGAGGTAGCATTGAAGGCAACACTCTTACTCGGCTTGCCAGCGGCGGCCTTGTCGAGCTTCACGTTGTTGTCGAGCTTCTTCTGCTCCGCGTCGATCTTGGCCTGGTTGTTCGCACCCTGGGCCTGCTGGACCTGGAGCGCCAGGACTTCGAGTTGAAGCTTGAGGACCTTGTTCTTGATCTTGCCGACGTTGAGCGCGGCGGCATCGGCTCCAGAAGCCTTGGCGATGGCGTCGTTGAAGCCGCCGGCGTCCGTTTCGGCGCCCTCGGCGGCGACACGGGCGGCCTGGAGAATGGCCAAGTCGTTTTTGCTCACTCCCTTGAGGTTGGCCTTGAGTTGAGCGACCTATGCGCTGTTAGTCTTACTTGTTACAATTGATGCCAAGCCAAGAACGTACGGGGAATTTCTGGGCGACCTCCCCGAGGGCGTTGCCGCCAACGCCGTCAGAGACCTGGAACTGAGAGTAGCTCTGGACGGACAGGAGGTTGGCCTGACGCTTGTCGACCGCATCGACCGGTGCAGAGAGGCCGGTGGCGACAAGAGCGAAGAGAACGGCGATCTTGGAGAAGTACATGTTGTTGGTTGGTTGGATGGGAGCTCGCTTTGCTTGTTTGACTGAAGGTGTGGTTGGCTTTTATAAGAAAAATGATTACAGTTCAGAAGATATGGTCGAGTAACGAGCGATGAAAGAGTGAGTAAAGAATGAGAGCAACAGCGCAGCTGTGAAGAATGAGAGGAAAGTTATTATTGAGTTTGATGTTGACGATGGATGGCGAGCAAAGCACAAGACAAAGATTGGCCGGGGCATCGGGAAGTCTTATACCAGAACTTTCTATAGCAAGGACAGCATCTCATCTCACTTCCCGCAACAATAACCCTAGAAGCTCCCGACGGGCGTCTCGACCGAGCTTTGCTGCAGTATTAGGGTCGAGCGGGGATGCAACGACGACACGAGCATATGCCAGGGCCGATCCTTGACGGGCTCCATAAGAGAAGACAAGCTTCTTTGCCAAGGGGAGGATCTGCGAGCGTCGTCGATTATTCTCTCAGTGTCCCCCGGCCCAGTGGGATGGGTGCGTTTGCCGCTGCCTTGGTCCGTCCAGCGCGCCCGCGTCGATCGCCCACAGGTTCAAAGCAGGATGAAGGGTTGAGCTGTAGTCGTTGCGAGTTTGAAGTTTGTCGGGGATCATGGTGGGCCTGCCTCACACCCATGGCAGCTAAACCCGATGAGGCGGTCGTACATACTTAGGTAGCTAGCTAGGTAATTACCCAACCAAGCGGGGAGGTAGTGTACACTACGCAGCACTTGCCCGTCTGGAAGAAGGGGCGTCACGGTCTTTTCCACTCTGCGTCCATTGGTAACCACTTGTTGAATATTGCAAAAACCCACCTACGGTATCCACCCATCTTATCTTACCTGGGTAGTTAAGTGCTGTTAGGCAAGTATGAAATAATCGGTCTTCATCGCGCCCAGAAGCAATCCCGGAGTTACTCCCGCGTTGGCTGCTTGCTTCCAACCTCTCCCCCACCCCTTTCACGCTTATTGCTCGGTCCTGGCTCGTATGAGATTTCTTCGGATGACAAGGGAGGCCCGGGTGGACCGTCACCGGGCGGCTCCGCTTTCGCTTGGTACGCTGCTCCCAATCATGTGGTCGACGTTCGACTCAAGCTTTTTCGGCATCTCTGCCGTACTTGACACCCTGCCCTTCACGCGCCCCTCCTCCTCGGCTGTCATGACCCCTCAAAGACAAGTGGCTCCCGCCCGCTTGTGCCTCTCCGATGGTTCTTCGAGCGTGTTTCGAGCCTTGCGGATCTGCCACTTGCAACCCTGACCAAGGGGAAGATCGGACGTCAACTTCTCCCGGAAAATCCAATAGCCTTCAGCACCGTCCATTTGCGAGACCCCGAAACCCTGAACCCATAACATAACGCGTCGATCTTAGTGGCTACCCGTATTCAAGGCTCCATGGCGCCTCAGCTTGGGGGCGTCAATTGAAATCTTATTTTGGATGGCAAGGTGGCCGGCATGCGCGCGACGTGAGTCAAGAAGCCGCGCTCTCCCGCCCACCAGTTCTCTGACGCCGGCGTCTGGATCCACAGAACCAAGGTGGTTCCCTGGCGTGTTTTTGAAGCAAGGGAGCATCTTGCGGCCTCCAATGTTAGCGCTGGAGGAGAGAACCTATTCGGTTGACAGTCAACGACGTTGTATCCCTCCTTGTCTTAGCTTGGAGGGCCGGTCGGTTTTGAGGGCCGGTCGGTTTTGAGGGCCGGTCTGTTTTTGGAGCTCAGCGAACTCGTTCGCTGAGCCTCGACTTTCTTGACGGAACAGCTCCGTTTCCATGCCTAATGCGAAGCTGCACGGTTTCGAGAATAGATGTCAAGTTCCAGGGAAAACATCCAGATGAGGTAAAGTAGTGCAATTCTTGGGTATCCGGCTAACAGTACCCTCGTGCGGTGTCAAAGCTAAAAAGTTCGAAAGTATTCTTCCTGCCTATAATGCCAGGGCCCCTTTCATGTCCAGAAAGAAAAGAAAACAAGATAAAGTAAGATCCCTAAGAGAAACATCTATCCAGTAGATGTCGAAGAAGCCAAACCAGGTCGTTAGTGTCGTCAGAAAAGGGTCGTAAAAAAGAAACCAGCCTCCAACGCCAGAGTGTATGTATGTACCTGACCGTCTACACCCATTTCTAAACCTGTATACCGTGTCTGCTCATGTCATGTGTCTACTCCAAGAGATCAGAAGACGAGTCTCGCCTCTCGGCACTACTCAGTTCGACCCGAGCCCACCCGGAAAGCCGGAGCCGTTGGGGCGGCCAGAAGTAGAAGGTCGCCCAGAAGGCTGGGGAGCCGAGGGAATGGAGCCGTTGGCGCCGCCGTCGGCCTGGTAAACCTTGACCGAGTTGATTAGCCAGAAGGCCTCGGTGAAGGCCTGGGGGTTCGCCGCCACGTAGTCGGAGCACTGGGGCGCCAGTGCCTTGCACTCGGCGTTCTGGTCCCACACCTTGCCGGCCCAGTCGCCGCACAGCGCAATGTTGAAGACGAGGTTTTGCTGCTTGAAGTGCGAGGGGATGTCGCACCCGGCGCCTCCGTTGAACTTGGCCAACGGCTGGCCCCAAGAGGCCGGGTTGGGGTTGCCCGAGCTGATGTCGCCGGGGATTGCGCTGCGCGGAAAGAACCACACCGAGATGGCCTGGCTGTTGAAGTCAACGGCGTAGACGCCGCCGCCAATAGCGTTGAAGCCGTCGCCGTAGTTCTGGTTGCTGGCCGTCGTCTGGCCACACCCTGTGGAGGCGGAGTCGGAGTTGCAGTCCTTGTTAACGAGCGTCGTCGACGAGAGCGAGCCGGCGTTGTTGACGCTGCAGCCGGGTCCCGTGTGGAGCGTCACCGAGTTGGACTCCTGCGTGTTGACGCCCTCGATGATGTCGATCTCGCCCGAGTTGGGCCTGCAGGAAGGGGCATGGTCAGTTGTCGGGCTGCTCTCAAATCTCACACAGTGGCGGATTGAATCGGAAACACTTACCAGTTGGGACCAAACATCCAGAACGCAGGCCATACACCACAGCTACTCGTCGGCATGTGCTGGATGTCGGCGACGAACAGGCCAGTATCGAAGGCCTTGTTCGACGTCACCCTCACCGACTGGCGGTTTTGACCGGTGGTCTTCGAGTCGACGCCGAGGTAGATGCCGCCCCTGGCATATCCCGCAAGGCCCTGGTCGTTGGCCGTCTGCGCGCTCGTGTACTGCTGTGAGCCTTGCGTGGGGTCCGCCTGGTCGAAGAAACTGAACTCGTTGAAGAAGTTGGAGCTGTCGTAGTTGTCGTGGAGGACATAGTTCTGCTGCGCTTGGGCCGGTTCGGGCGCGCAGGAGAGGAGGAGGGCGGCGGCGCCCACCAGGACCATCTTGATGCTTTGGGAAGGCATTTTGGTCGTGATACGTGATCGAGATCTTTGCGTGTGCTCTTTTTAGATATGCTTGCGCGATATCTTCTCTTTTGCCTTTCTTTTCCTATACAAAAATTCCGAACGGGCTGGAAGCTAGGAGTGGATGTGTTTGTCTATGTGTGTATTGCCGGGATGAGGGAAATGTGTCTGAAGACTTTGACTCAGAATGGGACGAGAGAGTCAATCAAGATGTATGAGATGCCGAAGAAGAAGAACAAGAATGATGTCGTCAGGTCTGATGTGAGCCGGTCACTTCAGGTGGCTGGTGTAAAAGAGGTTCCCTAGTGTCGTTGTTGCGTCGCTGGTTTGCCTGGGCAGGAACCAGGGATGAAAGAAGGGCGGCTGATCTGTCTTCCGAAGAATTTGAGAACCGATTTTCTGATTGTCCAAAGGAGTGGAAAGTCCAGTAGCATGCGTTGCGGCTGGGGCTTGGTATCGGTAGTGTCGACCGTTCTCGGTGGGGTTTCGACGTCGTGTCGAGTGAGCTGGGTTGGTGAGATGAGGGTGATGACTGAACCCTTCTTTCTCTCTTTCGTACTGGTGTCTTGGCTCTATTCAATAGAGGCTGACTAGACTATAGACTTTTGACTCAGACCTGGAGCCTTGGGGGTGTTGCGCTTGGCAATAAAAGTCCAGATGAGGGAAGGTGAAAAGTGAAGGTAGGAAGCGAACCAAGGGCGGAGGCGATCAAGGAGTGGGACCTCTGCGATGACGATGACTTCGGCTGGGGAAGGATTGGAATAGGCTTGCGTGCCTCGTAGGGGCTGCGAAGTGAAGTGAGAAAAGAGAATGGGGGGGCCACAAACGGGCTGGAAAAAAATCTGAAAGAGGCTGAAGAAGAGTGGATGAAGAAGACCAACACTAAGCACGACACATCGCAGGACTCAAGAGCCTCAACCACATGGGGGAATGCGGCCTGCTAAATACGGCTCGAGGAGGCCAGCAGCTGTGGCGGGGGAGGGAACAAGACCCCCCGGCAACCGGACAAGATTTTGGGGGATCGTTGGAAGCGACCTATCCCATCTGATCTCTCTCTCTCTCTCTCCGTCTCGTCGCTCACATGTTCTACCGGGTTCGGCACAAGGCCGCGTCGCCATAGGCACACAAAGGCCCAATTCGCCTCGGGCCCGGAACCATGGTGAGACTTCTTGCTCCCCCTATCTTTTACGCGTACTTTTGCCATGTCGGCGACTCCTCTGCGGACCTTGTCCCGTGCTCCATGCTCCATGCTACATGCAAGTGCGAGTGTGAGTGTGATTGCGCGAAAGAGCGTGCTCGAGGGTTCAGTGCCAACGAACGACAGGTCATTGTTTCAATGGGTTTACCCGCCAAGGCCCGACGTTGACGGTTCATTGCCAGGGGAGTCCCCGGCAAACGAGCGCAGGCAGGCGAGGTGGGGAGCGAAGACGGGACGATTAAGGGAGACACCGGGGGCCAGTACAACTCAGCTGGTCCTTTTGCCTCCCGCGATGTCGGTGCCGAGAACAATTTGCGGTGCGCTCAATACCTTGCGTGTGGGGAGTGCATGGTACCTATGTAAAGTACCTGTAATAGTACGTACTGGATGCCATGCGAAGCCTCTACCTACCTACCTAATACTACACTAGTGTACTGTATCTACTACCGAGACAAGCACCCAAGTTGACGTGTGAGTGAAGTGGGCCTGTGCGTACTTTTTTGTGGGAAAGAAGAGGAGGAGAGATCAGAGGGACTGGAGGGGCATCATGTAGGTGCTGTATGCGCAGGTATATTCATCAAGGAGGGGAGGGATCGTCAGCGTTCCTGGCCCTATAACATGGGAATAAGGGGCAAACAGACGATGTGGTCGAGTCCATATGGGACAGGGGGGGAAACAAAGAAGGAGAACCAAGGCCGGCAGAAGAACGCTAGGCAGGGCGTGGGACTGGTCGAGAGAGGAAGGGAGAGAGACTGGCAGAGGAAGATGGCGAGTCGATTGGATGTTGGATTGGATGTCAAAGGTTCTAGTGTAGACGTTGTGTGCGTATGTACGGAGTATGCATGGGCAAGGTTGGTGAGGAGTACACTAGTCGTGGCCGTTTCGAAACACGGGCCATGCCAAGCGCAGGGGTGGGGGGCGGATGGATGTCCAATCGTTCGGCCCCCGAGCTGGCGGGGCCCGTCAATCTGGAGCACGCGGCGCCCAATCGCCCTAGCGGCGGCGGCTCATTCTAGGTAGAGGTACCTGCATTACCTCCTATGGAGAGGGAGGCAAACGTACACAATTAGGTACAAGTAGGTAGATCTAGGTGATGCTACTGGTTGAAAGTACACGTACTGCACGGGGCCAGAAGGCGGACAGGGACATGTACGGCACGACCGGTGCGCTTACGCAGTACCTGTGTACAAAACTACCTCGCGCCTAACTGTCACTCCCTTAAACTAACGCAACCTTTTTCTTCCCCTGACAGTAGGTAGGTGATTAGTAGCTGTATTCTCGGTCCCTGCGCTCGACTCAAATCGCTCATGTGGAATGCGCGGTGGAGATCTGCCAGGGGAATTGCCACGGGTGGCTTGAAACATTCCCTTCTCGGCGCGGCCATCCTCGCAGAAACATTGGCAACATTCGGAGGAGGGGGGAAGACAGACAAAAAGACAGACAGACCGTGGGCACTGGGCAGACTGGGTTGAAACATTTGCCCAACCACACTCACACTCACACTCACCCCAAGTATTGCCGTTCGGAAACACCCACACGGACTCACCTCCCCGTTCGGGACTCATCCTCGGACTGTACTCAGCCTTCCCACGTTTGCTTTCCTCGCCTAGGAATGTTCGGTCTATAGACGACGAGCATGGCGCCCCTCCCCATTGCGTCTCATGTGTCCGGAGTCATGATGCTTCTTCCTTTCCTCCCTTCTCTCTCTCTCTCTTTCTCTCTCTCTCTCCTCCTTACTCTTTATCTATCTAGTACACTCGTCTCGTCCGTATCCTTTCTGCAGTGCATTTACTCAGCCGTTTGTTCTTGCATTGGCGACCTATCCCTATGAGCCGATCTATACTAATCTACGCACATGGAGAGCATACCCCCCATCGCACCGCATCGCGTTGCACTCCGTCGCGGGGGCTTCGCGTCGCCTGGTCATCTGAACTACCTTGCACTGCACTCGTTCGATGACTCTTGCCGATAGCCGTCTCCCTTCACAAACCCTTTGAGAACTCTAGTGTATGCCACTGTCCCGCCGGACATTCCTTCTCGGGCTTCGAGTCGGGACGAAACACGGTATTGCATCCAAGATCCTTCACCATGCGCCTACTGGATGCGGGAGGGAGATAACTTGACATGGCTAAAGATCAGATCCCCACCTTTCTTACCCGCCCGCAACGGTGTACGCATCCGACATTGCAATCTAAACCTCACACCCAGGGCATCGGATAAGAGACCCTCGGGAACATGCAAACGTGTGTGTCGCCAGTGCGGAAGACATGCCGGCCCCATCTCCCTCACCGAATCCAATCTTCCAGCGGCGGCGACTTGTGCTGTTCACCGGCCGCTGAGCCGTCCCGTCTGGGTCCCCCCTTGCGTGTGGTTCGAGAAGCAGGGGAACCCTAACGATCATCCCTAAAGCACTAGTAACTGCCATCCGAACAGCCACGACTCGCAGATCAATATATGCGGAACCGTCACTTGCTGAGGTTAGCACCAAACACACTGGGTATTTATGTAGGCATATCAGGGTCCTTGACCCCGGTTTACCAGACTCGTTCATACCCTATCGCTGAGGTCACTGGGGACCCGGTGAAGCTTTTAGCGATGGGGCAAAATAGAACACGGTGTCAATACGTGTAAAAGGAGACAAATCGTTCTCGCTTCCTCATCTCAAGAGTGGTTTCTGGCCAGGAGCGGAGCAAAAGATCCGTGGAGAAGCGTATAGTAGCATACACTATACCTGACCACACACGAAAATGGCTTGAGAGAGGCGAAAAGGGATGGGGCCCACGGCGGCGATGGTCACCTCCGAGGCGGAGCCGAAAGGGCGCCGCGCCACCGCCGGTAGCGTACCTATTTGTTGTAGCCGGTAGCCGTCTCTTCCTGGCCGGCTGAGATCGCAGTGCCAACCATAGTCCCCGGCCTCCTTCGTGAACCAGACTTGTATTCCAAAAAAAAAAAAAAAAATTAAAAAAAAAATTAAAAAAAGGGGAGGGGGAGAAAGAAGGGAAAAGAAGGTAAGTTTTTTTTCCTTCTTTCTTTTTTCTAGTCTTTTTAGAAAAAAATCTGCAACCCCCACACGCACTCGGCCCATGTACAAGTCTATGTAGTGTACCAAACAGAGTCGCGCCTTCCCTGTCAGCGGCAAGAGGCCCCGTTTACCCATTTGTCTGCCTGTCCCCCTTATCAACCCCAGTTGCTAATCATCCCTTCCCTGGTACAAGGAATAGCCTAGCATCGCCACCAAGCCCATCCCCAGCTCTCTCTCACTCTCTCTCACTCTCTCTCTCTCTCTCTCTCTCTCTCTCTCTCTCTCTCTCTCTCTCTCTCTCTCTCTCTCTCTCTCTCTCTCTCTCTCTTTGTATTTTATTTTTATTTTTATATCCTTTTATTTTGTCCTGAGCGTCCATCTCACACACCGGGACTGTGCTCCGGTACAGCCATACACGTCCCGCACCATCGTCAGGCCATTTAGAGGTTTTTGATCCACCTTTAAGCAAAATCGGAGGGTGACAAAAGTGATGATTCCTCGTTTCGCACAAACTATTGATAAGCTATCGACGAGAAGCTGCTGTAAAGGATAGCTAGCTTCTTGCCGTTTCATCTAGGGAGGCCACTCACAGCACGGGAGTCATCGCAATGCTTTCTTTGGTGCTGGCCCACATTGAGATCGAACCGATACTTGGTCATTAGCTATATGAACGGGTAGTAAGGCGGAACAAATTCGTAACGCCACTACAATGCAGGCCGACTGGTACCAGAAAGCTGGAAAGCCTGCGTTGACTCTCAAAGCCAGGGGCTTCCGGCTTCCCAAGCGGCCCTGTCCCCCCCACCCATGCCTCCTCCACACGAATCTTGCATGTGCCACGACGTGTCTAGTAGTGCAACAAAAGAAGCACGTGGCTGTAAAAGGGAGAAAAAAAAATGAATAAGCACCATGTTGTTTTTTGTACACATCGCGCCGTCGGAAACAACCTGCCCGAATACTCCTATCCCTGGATACTAAACTCCCTTCATACTGGCTGGCAATGCCGCCCCTGGTCCAAGCAACCGCCTCGCTGTACGGCTTCTACATTGTTCTTTCATAACGCTCATGATGCGTGGACGTCAGGGAGCCCCGAGCTTCTGGGCTTCGCATGCGTATCTGTGTGGTATACAAGATAGGTGCTCCTATCGAATAAGCAAGGCGTTGGAAGAGAAACACGGCCGACCAGCCGCTATTATGTGGCCGCGGATCGATGCGCAAAGGCGCACCAGGACCAAGTCTTTGCAAGTCTTTGGCCGTTTTAGAGCTTGACCTTTTGGCCGGTGAGCTTGAACCAGATGACGGCGATGAGATCCTCCTTGAAGCGCTCCCACGGGTTGCGGTTCAGGTAATAGCTGAGCTCGCGGTAGTTGTACATCTCCCCCCAGCAGTCGCGGCCCCATTCGCAGCCGGCCATGTTGACAACAAAATCTCGGTCATTTTGGTCGTAGTGAATGCGTGTGTCGTTCCCGTTCTCGGAACATGCGCCGGGCGGGAACGAATTGATCATACGCTGCGGAAGGAAGGCCGTGTGCTTGCGAATCCATGGCTGGGTCTTGTACATCTGCTCCAGGGCGTCCTGCTCTTTGTGCTCCCATTCCATGTGTTTCTGCTCATAGGCGACAGGGTCCCACCAAATATCGAGCATCCGGTCGGCCCAGTTGCCCTTCTTGACAAAGAAAGAGCCCAAGTTAAAGCCCGAACAGTCCTGGGAGAGCATGAGGTTGATGGATTCGGCCCTTCCGTCGCCGACGGGGCTCCGCGACTCCTCGTCTAGGTAAGGGTCGGTGAAGGGATGGCTGATGTTCAGAGGGTTGTATTCGTTGATGTCGCGGTAGACGTGCTTGTTCAGGTCGTTGAAGATGTGGTTCTGTAGGGGATAGGAAAGTTCCATTACGTAGGTGTTCAAGTCGAGCCACCAGACCCTGCGTCCAAAGGTCAGCTTCATGATATCAACTCATGCGTGTTCAACATACCATTCGGCCTTTGGATACTTGCGGAAGGCAGAGCGGATAAAGTCGACCTTCTCCCAGCTCTCGCGCCACTCGTGTGCGTATCGTTTCTTGGTGCTCATGTCGACAATCTCGAGATCGTACCCCCATCTGTTCGCGTATTTCTTCTTGTTCCGAACGCTGTCCCGTTCAATGGCCCATTCGCGGGCGCCCTTCCATTCCATGACACCTCCCCCAACGTTGGCCGCCAAGATAATGACATACTTTTGGCCACCACCAAAGTGTCTCCGCCAGTGGTACACTAGAGCTGTAATATTGTTAACGACAAGCCCAGAGCGTGCCGAGGGTTTCCCAACATACGAGTATTGTAGAAGATGGTCATGGCCAGGGACAACAAAAGAAGTATCAGCAAGCGCAGCTTCATCTTCCTGCCCATGCGTGCGAAGACGCTCCGTATCCTTCCCACCAGCGGCACCTTCTGCGCCGGCCATGATGCTCGGCTCAGTTTCTCTTTCTCTGTATAGTGGCTCTGATGGTTGAATCGCGGCAGGCTACTTGATATCCGGCGCATGTGTCTCGTGAAGAAGCCTTGGTTCTGCGTGGAGAAGGACGGGTATCCGTTCATGCCAGCGGTTCTCATCTTGGAGGTTTCCCAAGGCGATGTTGCGCCGTTGGATGCTGAGAAGCCTCTGCTCGGACTCGATCGGCCGCTGGTGTTGATGGTGAGGCCAGGGCTGGCCCAACCGCCACCAGGTATAGGCGACGGGCTGCGCGAGAGCGACATTGCGTTATTGGGGGTGCCTGCAGCATTCGGAGAACACGAGATGTCAGCAAGCGGGTCCCTTATTTGTGTTGTCCAACCCGTATTTGTGTTGGTGGCATGTTGGGGCGGGGGTGCGTAGGTGCGCCACGGATTCAGGCTGCAGGTCAAGAAGAGCAAAAGAGGACGGGATAGGACGTACCAGGAATCGGCGCGAGGCCAGGCTGCTGGCCGTGGACTCCCAGGAGTTGGGAAGAACCACGGTGGCCTGGACCGTCAACGGTGACTGCGAGCCCGCCAGATGTAGATGAACGGCGCCGGTGATGAGAGCGTACTGGCCTGTGATCGCTGTAGGACGAGGACGCTGCGGATTGCTGTGGTTGATCCAGGATGAAGGATTGTCGAGGGTTGTGACCAGATGGCACTTTACGAGCCGCCTGGTAACAACGCGATAGCCACGATGGACTCGCTAAAATGCAATAGTGATTAAGTTGGCCGGGGGTCGTCGACGTGTGCGGAAAAGGGGGTCTCCCCTCTCTTGCGGTCAAAGCAGAAGAACTTCTGGAGGTGTTTGTGGAATTTGGGTGAGGCTGTACAGGTGGATATGGCCAGGGGGAGGTTTTCCCGCTTGTCATGCAGAGGCCTAATGTACTACGTAGGTATGGCAGCCTCAAAGCGATTCGGTGGCTCGGTTCGTTGGTTCTCCAAATTGAGGTGCGCCGACGGTACGGGGACGGGTGCGAGCAGGAAAATAGTTATTAGGGAGGAGGACGAAGTGGAGGAGAGTCGTTTCCAGGCTGGGGTCGCTTTCCGTGGCGCGATGGCCGATTGGGGTCAAAGACGCGGGAGAAGCGACGTTCACACTGTCGGTGGCTGCAACGCAAAAGAAGCGGCCTGACCACTTGCTGCCACTGGCGCGCGCGTGATTGTGGGGAAAAAGCGGAAAAAAGATGTTGTAATATCGAGGGAGGAAGAACGAATGAACTGAATAGCCAAACCCGACTAGCTACGGGATCCCTAAGCCAAGTTTGTTAGGAAGCAAGAATGGGCGAGTAAAGTGAAGCATCTCAGCGTGCGATGGGCAACGGGTACAGGTTCAAAGGGGCCGGCCATGCGACCATTTGCTGGTGGTGTTGTCGATATTGCTCATCCCGCGTCTGCCAAACGGGAATTGGGCTGAGCCAAAGAGACAATATCTGTAAGGGAGAGAGACATTCCACCAGCAACCACCTAATCCCCCTATCAATCTCTGTCTGTCCCCTCACCAGAAAAATTAAGCCCTTACATTGTGACCAGGGGCTTCTCGCCCGCACACTATGTGGGAACAGAACTTCCCCCCGCCCGTCCAATCTTTTTCTTCTTCTTCTTTCGGATGGAGGGTGCGTGCTCCTCCTGGATGCCAAGATTGTAACGGAACCAGCGTTTGACTCGAATAGGTAGCCGACACATGGTGGCCATGCTGGTGTTGCACCATAAACTCAAGTCGAGTGTACTTCAAGACTCGCAGCCAGTACTTTTACCTTTCAGGCTCTAAACTCCCGCGCCTCAGAATCAATGTCTCTACACTATTCATATCGTCCGATTATCGCCGCGGGAACTACCGGTATGTCACACGCCGGGATCCTGTCTATGGAAAAAGCAAACGGGAAACCATTCTGGCCATTTCACCAAGGGAGTGAAAGTAACAAACAACCGACCTATCCCCCCTCGCATTTGTGAACCTGTCACAAACGCTAGGGATGACAATACCTACACCTGGCTGAGGTAGGGAGGTGATAACTGAGCCCGTTTACCCAAGACACGAAAACCACGGGCGCTCTGCCGCCCAAGTCGGCGACGAGTCAATTAGTGCGCCCCCATTGGCCACCATGGCAGGTCTCACTTGCGTCGAACTGAACTGTTAGTGGACGTGGGGTAGGTAGCAGTGTTAGGCCACTTCATTCACTACACGTGTATCCGTATTCGTCTGCACGAGGACCTTTGCGTCTTGGGATGCGAGCTACTCAGTCAGCACTGCACGTCTCTCGTGTCGAGAGGCGCTTGTAATACGAGCCTACCTACAGAGTACCTCGTGTGCCAAGGCGTTGATTGCACTTGAAGAATCGGGTGGAACTTCCGCTTACTCTTCTCGGTATTCCTCCCTCAGTCCGTATCGATTTTCAAATGAATCATGGCGTGACAACAGTAAAGTCAGCGCCGAAGAGAACAATGGTTGCCAGCGCGAGGCTTCCAAACTTCTACAGCGATCGGGAGAACGAGGTTTGTACCGCGCTTGCAACATTTGATTCACGCGGTTTGTTTCCCTTGCTCCAATAACGAGCAGTTTGCACCTCCAACTGAAGCCCCTGGACCTGTTTGTGAGGCGATTGGCTGCACAGCCACTTCGTCTCGTCCACCTGCCCAGCACCTGAGACCGGACATGTCGGGCCCATTCATGGCCAAAACAAGATTCTGGGGCTGAGGCATCGAGGGGTTTAAGTTGGCACGCAAAAACATACTATAGTAGTTTAAATCAGATGAGACGGACAGACGGAGTGGCCTGGGCTCTGTTATGTAACCATCATCAATGAGTCCCAACCGGTAAGCCGTGCAACTTTAAACAATTGACTCGGTTGCTTGTGAGTACTTGTGTATGCCGCAATGTCTCATGATACACCTTGCATGTGAAATCTCAACGATCAGCCAGGCAGGGATTCCAAACATTGATGTTGAAGAAGGCTACGTATCAGTAACTGGTTACCACGGGTGATCAACAAGGTACCTGGCTAATCTCAATGGCGCTCCAGGCCTCAACCGAAACGTGAGGGGGCAGCAGCTCGAGCGGCAGAGCGGCAATCTCCCGTGTGTGCATCCGGGAACAGGAGCTGTCTCGACCTCCACACGGCAAGGTCACGGGGGACGGAATGACACCTCACCACGTCAGACGGTCCGAGCACTGATGGAAGTGTGCTTAGGTAATGCATCTCACGCCGGCCACATCATCGCGCACAAGCCACTCAAGCATGCTCAGGTCAAGCCACTCCATAGTAGCCATTTCCCCATCATCGGCCACAGACCACAGACAACCTACCTGCCTGTCATAACGCTCTCGATGCTGTAATTCGCCCTCAAGAGATGAAGCGGCCGTCGGTCGGTGGGGATTCCAGCTTGAGGCAGAGCCGTTCCGGTTTCCAAGAACCGCGGCCAGATGAATGGCCAGCAACGCGGTCGCCTGCGCAGGCCCGAGAGATGGTCAGCGGCAAGACGGCCAATCAGAAGCTCAGGATGCCTAACTGGCGCCTACCTCATACTACCTCTGCATCGTCCAGCCAAACATCATGGGGCTTGGCCGCGACCCATGAACTAGAAGCCGCTGGCGGGTGAACGATTCCCAGTCATATAATGATGCCGGCTTCTCCAGCCGTGCTGTTGCACTCCTGCTTGTTTCGTGATTCTAAACGTCGTCGAACGGTGGGTGGACATCCGGTTTCCCTTTTCTTGCTCTTATTGTGCGCCTGTTTAAGACTTACAACCGAATATCTCGTTTGGGCGAGCTCGCTGTCAATCGTTTCGACACTCCTTTGAGCCCCTCCCTCTTTCCCTCTTTCCCTTATTTTCACATTGCTCGAGCAACCATCTTTCATTACCACAAATCGGCATCTTTTGACACGATCCTTGATAACAACAAAAATCCACTATCTTCTTCCTATAAACGTCTCATTCGTCGGATTTCATCAACTCAATTCTATTTTTCTTGCCCACTTGTTTCATCACTCAGGATCCGACTTGGACACATTCACTTGGAAATCCCATCATAACGATATAGAATTTCGACGACGACATCAATATGTCCCCAGTTGGGAACTCGGCGCCCCAGCGCCAACCCAACGAAAACCCACCTCACAACGAGAGAGATGATTGGGAAGATTGGGAGGATGAAGATGTCGTTACACCCATCATGGATGATGACCAAGAGCTTATTATGGACAAGACAGCGGCTCCCAGCCCACTGAGGTCGAACAACCCTCCTTCGACAAGGCATTCCCAACCTCGACACTCAGTCCAGAAATTGAGGCGTCTCAAATCACGCCAACGGCAAAAAGCGCAGAACGCAAAGGCTGGTATCAAGGTGGTGACGGACATGGCGACCCTACAACAGCAACAGGCTGCCCAACGAAGTCGGAACCTCGACTTGCATCAGCCAAAGTTCGTCGATGCCGCCGCTCTTAGGGCCCTCGAAGGGTCACCCAACTCTGCTTCCGTCGGCAACTGGAACTGGCTAAAGAAGAAACCCGATCAGAGCAGCAAGTCTCCTCAAAGTGTCGGGCATAGTCCGCTTGAGCAGGACCTTTCCCCAGATGACCGACCGATCGTCATCGGCATCGCGTTGCCTTCCGAAATGGCCGGCAGGGAAATCAGCCCCCAGACAGCAGTTCTCGAATCGCCTCGTGACTTGCCGCCTACATATGACAACACGTCACCAGTGCCACGCAAGCCAGATACAGTCACACCTTTGACCCCTTCGCAGCAAAGATCAGTCTGGAGCCCTGACACACCCAACACAGCCTCCTCTCCATTCCAGTCTCCCCACCGCTCATCCAGTATCTACTCTCAAGCTACTGGTCTCGGAGTCCGCGTGGCTCATGACGCTCCCCCAGTGCCTTCTGTTCCATCCACCTACAAGCAGCAAGAAAGGGTGGTCAGTGTTGTCCTGAAAGATAATGACCACGATGACGATGATGGAGGCAGCCCGTGCACGTTGTTCGAAGAAGACGGAGCGGCTTCGAACCGTCGAAGGTCGACAAAAGTCAAAGAGGGAGCAGTGAGTCCGGACAGCGCAGCTACTCAGACACGTGGCTGGTGGGATCATATAACAACGCCCTTCCTAGAGAGGAAGAGTCCCGTTGTTCCGACCAAGTCCGGATCGCAGTCTGCCAAAGCAACCGGAAATGGTGAATGGCTGAGTGAAAAGGATACAAATGCATCCGCCTCCAAAAACCAAGATCCGGTGCTCAAGACCCCCAAACCGGCACAGACCCATCCAACCGTTATTCAGAGACCAGGCCTTCCAGCATCGCCTAAACCATTTCCCGGTGGCTTTCAGGCGCCGATAGTCAGAGTTCCTACACCTAGGAGAACTCCGTCGCCGCTCATGGACAGAGGCGAGCCATCTCCCGCGTCGTCCTCTCGCTCAGCAACTCCGAGACTGCAAGTTCAGTCAGAGAAGGTTTCGCTTACCGAACCGAGCCCTGTTCTATCAGAACAGCCACCACCATACTCGCCACCGCCGCAACAGCAGAAAGGCGTCAGATATCGAGCCGTTTTCCCTGTAGGTCATCCTCTGCAAGCACTCTACCCGCCCTCGCCTGGTCCAATATCACCAGCCATCAACGGTACAATGAGTTCGCAAGGCGGCATCAACATGACCGATATTCCCTTGACGCCCACAGCTCAAGGCAATAACCCCGCTCAGGGCACCCATGGCCGTCTTCCAGAAAGGCTTGCTAGTACATTCGTGCCCCAGGAGCATTTTCTTGCAGCATCAGGAGACGGTAATCGGGTCGAGCGTAAGCGCCGACGCCACGAGAAGGAGGAAGTGGCAGCTCGTAAGCTCGGCAGCTTCTGGAAGGGCCGCTGGTGTATACCTGCAAGGGGCTGCTATGGCCGCAGTGGCCGCGAGGGCCGCAAGAGAAGGCGTGTGTGCCTGGGCGTCTGCGGTGCCAGTCTCGTCTTGAGCATTCTCATTATTGTTCTCTGCGTTATGCTCATCCCACGCAACAACGCCGCCACGCCAATTGACAGCATATTTGTCAACTTGACAAACTTCCCTCCTATGCCTACTGGAGTTCTCTCAGTGGTAGGTCCAGACAACACAGCGGCTGTGACCGGTTGTAGTAGTCCCTCGACCGTTTGGAGCTGCGCACTACCCAAGGAAGAGCACGAATCTGTGGCGCCTAACCGCCCAAACCAGCCGACCTTTATCATGCAAATTCAATGGGACAACAACACCCACAACCTGTGGGATGTACCCAACGGCGAGCCCCCTCGTCCTGGGTCTAGCACCCGTAAGCGGGAGTTGAATTTTGGCGGAATCGTCGCCAGAGCTGGAGCGTACTTTCGAAGACAGAACCCGGCGTTTGCGCCAGACCCCTCTCCCCCATCCTTTGAGGAAATGTACTTCCTCGGAAACACAACGGATGGCATCGTTTCTAACGATAAAGCCGGCGAGCCCACGCCTTTTTACCTGAGTATTCTAAAGTCCGCAAACGAAACAGTCGGACCTAATGCCATGGGAAAGCGTCAGAATTCTGGAGACTCCTCTGGTGATATCTCAATATCTCTGCCAGCTCCGGATCTCGAAGCAGACGGCACTGGAGCCCCCGCGCAACTCTTCCCTCACGTTGTACAGCAGCCAGTCCGTCTCTACGACCGCGGGCTGCAGACGGAGCATTACGGCTTCTACACCTATTTCAAGCGCACCATCTACCTCAAGTCCGTCACCACCCTCAACGGCACTGATGATGAGAGTAATGTGCCCCTCGACAAGGACGGTGGCGCCCGCCGTAGCGAGGCGAAGTTCCTAGTGACGTGGTCCCAAACGCGCTTCCTCGTGCAGATCTGGACCCGCTCCGAAAACAATACACAGCTCCTGCGCTCCAACGACGGCGAGGAACCAGGTACTATGCCGTATCCTGTCACCGTCAAAACGGACACACACGGCGGCCGGTCAGGCGAGAAGTTTGTGTGGCACTGGCCCGTAAACGACCGCCAGGGCATCGACACGGCGAACCCGAAACTACTGCCCAACGACATTGGCTTTGGTGGCAGAACGGTGAACCCGCGCAAGGACAAGGATGCATCTTTCGGTGGGTTTGATGGCGGTACCGGCGGGTGCCGGTGCGAATGGGTGAACTTTGTCGCCCGGAGGGACAGTGGAAATTGATGAGATTCAAGAAAAGATTATTAAAAAATCGATATTCAAGCCTTGAATATGAATATCAACGTGGATATGGGCATGGTTGGACATGGATACGGGATTTGGCATTAGCATTGGCACATTACATGGATGGTGTATGGGGGTTAAAGGTATTCAAAAATGCATAGTATCTGCATAGTATCGTAATGAAACAGCGTGCTTCAAGTCTACCGGTAGATACTCCATGACTTTGCATCAGTCGACGGACTATCTATGATAAGCCACGAAGTGCAGAAACTCGAATACCTCGGGCTGTCGGAGAAGAAGTCAAGGTGGTTCATGCCAACTGGCCATAAAATATTCTATCTAAGGCACACACACACACATACCACCAAACTTGCGCGTGACTGGCGTGGATTGCCCTTGAAGATGCCTCTAGGGGTGCAGGTGTAGGTGGGATGTGTAAGTCGGTGAGCCTCGGTGTGGATATGATAAAGATAAGATAAGACCACCAAACTTCTTTGAAACCATCACCGCTAAGTCCCCCAACGCTCCCTCTCCCGAGCACGTTCAGAACCTTCCAGATGCGCCCTCCCCTCTCAACCCTCGCACGATGGCGCAAACCGTCTGTACCCCACTGCCGAGCCGTCCTTCACGGTAGCCCGATGCGGGCCGTCCGCCACCTCTTCCACCGCACCCTCCTGACCCTCGCCATCGAGACCTCGTGCGACGACACCTGCGTCGCTCTCCTCTCCAAGGACCCGGGCCCCCGCGGCCGCGCGACCCTCCACTTCGACCGCAAGGTCACGAGCGACAGCACCGCCTACGGCGGCGTCTACCCGCCCGTCGCCATACGCTCCCACGACGCGCACCTCGCGCCCCTCGTCGCCGAGGCCATCGCGTCCTTGCCGCCGGTCGGAGAACACCCCGACAATGACGACCCACCTTGCGGCGGCGGCACGGTGACAGTCGCCGGCATTCCGCGCCAGAAACCCACCTTCGTGACGGTGACCCGCGGCCCCGGCATGTCCGCGAACCTCGCCTCCGGCCTCGCGACGGCAAAGGGTCTCGCGACGGCGTGGCAGGTCCCACTCCTGGCCGTGAACCACATGCAAGCCCACGCCCTCACCCCGCGTCTGGTGTCCGCCCTCGGCCGGCCTCCTTCTCCCGCTTCCTCGTCTTCATCGGGCTCGATCTCGGCCTTGACCTCGTCTCCCATCCAGCCCGAATACCCCTTCCTCACCCTCCTCGTCTCTGGCGGCCACACCCAGCTCGTCCACTCCCGTTCCCTCGCCGACCACCGCATCCTTGCGACCTCGGTGGACGTCGCCGTCGGCGACGCCCTCGACAAGGCCGCCCGCCTCATCCTGCCCCCCGAAGTGCTGGCCTCCCACGGAGACGTCATGTACGGTGCCCTCCTCGAACGCTTCGCCTTCCCGAGCTCCACTGCCGCTTCGTCCTTGCCATCTCAACAAGACTTTGACTACGAATACACCCCGCCCCTCCGCCGCGTCGACGAGATCGCCACCTACACCTCCCCCTACTCCTGGACCCTAACTCCGCCTCTCGCCGCCTCCCGCGCCCTGTCCTATTCCTTTGCCGGTCTCGGCAGCCAGATCCACAAGATTGTGGCCTCCAAGGCCGCCGCCGCCGACGGCAGTGGCAAAGCCGACCCAATCCCCCTCGAGGAACGCCGGTGCCTCGCTCGCGCCGCCATGCGTCTCCTGTTCCAACACCTCGCCAGCCGCGTCCTCCTCGTCCTCGCCTCCCAGCCGGAGCTCAGAGACGCCGTCAAGACGCTCGTCGTCAGCGGCGGCGTCGCCAGTAACCGCTTCCTCATGCACGTCCTGCGTAAGACTCTTGATGTCCGCGGGTTCGGGCACGTCGAGCTCGTGGCGCCCCCGCCGGCACTGTGTACGGATAACGCGGCCATGATCGCCTGGACGGGCATGGAGATGTACGAGGCCGGCTGGGAGAGCGAGCTCTCCGTGCATCCCGAGCGCAAGTGGTCGATTGACCAGGAGAGCGACCAAGGCGGAATTCTCGGCCTGAGCGGCTGGGTAAGAAGAGACGAGTGTAAAGTAAAAAAGTCATGATATCCCCCTCCTATACCTAATGTAACATCACCTGTGCCATAATTGTAGAGGACGACAGAAGGCGTAAAGAATGAACTTGTATCATGATCTAGTTTACAAGTTACATGACACCAGCACCCTTTCTTGAGTACCGATGCCTGAGGAGACAGCCTGGCATTGGCAGCCCGTGTTTCCTCCTGCAGCTGCCCTTCCTCCCATCATCGCCTGCCGTACCATAACCGCTCTATCCATTCCGACGCACAGGAATCAATGTCGTTCCTTGTTTCTCCTGCACCACATAGGGAAAACGGGGTAATGCCGCTGGTCCTGCTCAGCCACGCTAAGAGACCGGCTGAGTTCAATGGTTTGTATAGAATTCCATGATCTGAATGAGTTCAGCGACGATTCATCGCAGTCCCTTCCCCCCAATATCTAGTCCAAGTCGGCCGTGACGTTGGTGAACTCGCCCTTCTCCAGCTTCGTCTTCCAGAAGATAGGATTCGTATCGTTGAAGCCGTGCTTGACCCAGCCCTCCTCCTTGACGTGGTACAAGTTGATGAAACCACCAGAGTAGGCGTCACGGTGCGTCGCGGCCAGGATACTCCGGCTGCCGAGGTCGAGCGCCTCCTGGTCCGTCAGGTCGTAGCGGTACTCGGCATCCAGGACACCATAGGCGAAGGTTTGACCACTGCCAACGCAGAAAAGGTTGCCTGGCAGGCGAGTACCATCCGAGTCAACGTAGTAGAGCGCGGGGCCCTCCTCCTTGGTGACACCGGCACACATGGTGCCCATGCTGAGGCCCATGCCCTTGTACGAGTAGACAAGGTTGGCGAGGATCTTGGATGCGGCGGCGACCGAGATGCGGCGCTTGTGACGGAGCTCATGGAGGCGGCACTGCATGCCGAGCCAGGCGAGCCAGTATTGGCAGTCGGCCGCGCCGCCGGCCATGGTCCCCAGCAGCACCGAGTTGATCTCAATGACCTTCTTGACTGTTTGCGAGGCGATCCAGTTTCCAGCCGTGGCACGGGAGTCGGTGGCGACGATGATACCACCTTGGAAGCGAAAGGCGAGGGTCGTTGTGCCGTGGGCAATCTTGATGGGGCAGTCGGGATTGGATCGGTCGTCTGTTGCTGCGCGGAGCCACGAGGAGGGCTGGATTGAGGGGTTGTATCAGTATCGCTGGTTGATTGCCCCAGAGTATCGAACGGAGGGGGTGTAGAGAAGGAAAACTCACATGTGCGACGGGGGGCATGGCAAACTTCAACGACAAAGGCGGTGCACCACCCATGAGCTCAAGGTCCTCCTGCTCATCGTCTCTGAAGGCGTTGTGTTGCTCGAACACCGGGCGGCTGTACTTGGCTACAAGGCTGTCCATCTCGGCGGTCGGCGAGCAGGGTACCTAGGCGAGATTGTTTGGGTATGAAAGATCGTGAGAATCAGCGATGTGGGATTCTGATTACTCTTATGGTGGCGGTCGTGGAAAGGGCGTGTGAGGTTGTAGTTGGAATGGAAGATGGGGATCTTTGAGGTCGACTTGGGGCGTACGGCAGCTCAGGCAGCTCCATGCTCGCGTCACGGCCAGCTTCAGCAGGGAAACTGCGTACCTAGGTAGCTGACTGATGCCTTACTGCCTGATTCGGATTTGGTAAGTGCTGCTGCAGGTACGAACATAACCGCCTGGTGCTCGTGGATTACATAAGCTAGGATCTGGCTCCCTTTCAACTTCGGTCATCGAGTGTGATATCACCAGACATATTGTGTATTGTCCGTACATTTCCTCTCGAGAATACCTTCATCAAAATACAGCGCTTCACATTTCGATTCCTCTCAAATGATGTTACAGCATTGTGGCCCTCGTGTCGCAATCACCAGTAATAATTCAACTATTAGTCAAGTTTAGTATCGTGAATTGCATCCTAACTATCAGGACAACAGATTACTCTAGCCTTTGCCAGGTCTATCTGCCTACGTTTGCCACCCCACCTTACCGCCTTAGCCCTGCTGCAACTCCTTCCGACTAGCTAGGAAATTATGACAAAAATGGAAGGGGAAGAAAAGACCCATTAGTGGATAAAAAATATGCCAGCCATTGCCATCCTCCCAGGTATCTGAATGCAATGGAAAAGCTTTTGTTGTCACAAAGAAGAAAAACAGTTAGGGAAACCCGGTCCAGGTTCGAAAAGTTTGCACCGTAGCAGCGTTGGACCCCCTCAATTAGTTTGGGGTTCCTTCTCTGCTGCGGCTGTCCCTTTTGCCCATGAAGCTCCGACGAACCGGCGGCTTCGGACTGTCAGGCTCCAAGCTGGCCGACGGAGCGAAAGTGCTCTTCATGACAACCGTGCCGCCTCCGACCTTAATCTCCTTCTCGCCTCCTACCCCGGAATCGTCGACAAAGTAAAGGGCCTCGCCTAGATCATCATCACTCCTAAGGGTGTGCTCGCCCTTTGCCTCGATCTTGAATTGAGTATCGGCAGTGCATATACACTTGAAGGATTCGTTGTAACGGAAGAAGCCAGTTGCGTCTTTGTGGTGCTTCGTCTTGCCAATTACCTTTTGCTTGGGCGCCAGCTGATTGATGGTAATGTACAGATCAGTTGACGGAGGAAACCCCGTAGCAGACACAACGGTGAAAGTGGCGGTTCCAGCGCCCGGTGACCCCGGGGTCACGCTATGGATGGAGGCGGCGCCGTTGCTTTTTGTGCGAGTGTGTCCCAAGGTTGAGCCATTGGAGGTCCCTGGACGTGTGTCGGGAGATTCACTACTGTCGGAAACAGAGAAACCGGTTGCTCGCTTGAGGCCAAGGCCGGGGGTAGGGGCAGGGGGACTGCTGCCATTCTCGACAATGGTCGGAATCTCAGTGAAACTTGATGATGATGCATCGTTCAAGTCGTCATCCTTTTTCGAGAATAGACCACGCTTGAGGAATGAGGCGCCCCTGCCCACACCGTGGCCAACTGTGCTTCCAACTTTGATAGGTGCGCCCGCAATGCCGGTGACAATTCTTCCTGGCGCCGCGAAAGTGCCGGAAAACGTTGACGTGCCTTGCCGAGTTCGGGTAACGTAAGTCGGCCGGAAGAGCATCCTCAATCTCACCGAGCCCGACTTGCCATCCAAAAGCAGATGGCTCTCGCTGGGCCTGAAGGGATCCAGCTGCTCGAGATTGATATCGGCGGCTCCCAGGAAGTCGGGCTTGTCCGCAAAGTCGTAATCCCAGACGGTGACCTTGAACTTGGCAGCGGTTCTTGAAGGTACGGGGACTTCAAAGAACTCGTTCCAGGCAGGATGCAAAGTCTTCTTCTGGACCTTGGTCTTGTACACGTCTTCGCCATTGAGTTCGAACTTGCAGTACGGGTCGCTCTTGCCGTTCGAGTCTGCCGAAGGAAGGTCCTGGGCGTCCAAGACATCGACACGGAGAGTTCCCATGTTGTTGATACTCTCGCTCGGGTCCAACTGCATCTTGACGGGAATGTACTTGAGGCTGACTTTGACACTTGCTGGCCGGTTGTCCTTGCCCTTCAGCTTGAGCGTAGTGGGGTTGTTCTAGTACGAATCAGTATATCATCATGCACAAGTCTCAAGGTATAATGCTCACCAGACACTGCTTTAGCGTGTCCAGAGTGTTCCCCTGCAGCTTCGCCATAGTGTGGTCTCTGTCCTTCTCATTTCCTTCAACCTTGTCGCCCTTCTCACGGACCTTGAGCGTCAGGCGAGAAAAGTCCAGTTCTCGGATGAAGCAGTCGCCGATTTCCTCGAATGTGTGCTTCTTGTGCTTGGCTGTCGATGAGGTGTACGAGGGAAAGGCCATGTCGTCAACCCAGATCTCTAAATGCGTATTGCCCTCTGGCATCTCTGCTTCCATGAGCTTGAAAATCAGGAGACCTGACTCGTACTTCAGAAGCTCTTGAGGGGAAAGACGAATCTTCGGCGGGCCACTCTCGTCCTTGGATTTCTTTGGGAATGAAGGGGAGACGGGGGTGACTGGGGTCTTGGGCGGGCTGATTTCCAGTTCGGCTCCGTCCTTTTTCGGCTCGATGGCGCTGCTGAACTTGCCGGCCTCTGAAGATCTAGGGGCATCCTCGATCGCCTTGACCTTATCGGCCGCTGCTGCCTGCTCCTGCTCTTCCTCTTCCTCAGGATCGGCAACGTTGAGGCAGGGAAAGAACGAAACTGTGTAGGTCAGGACACCCTTTGCAATGCCCTTGCCGTGAAGCTGCAGGCCACCTTGGAAAATTTTCTTCGTGTCATGGACGTTGTACTCGCCGTTTTCGGCCTGTGAAATGTAGTCGCCAGCGAAAACTTCGACCAGACCGAGACTGCGATCCTTGCCCATCTTCTCCGCGTCCATGACCTCAAGTGACAGTCTTTCTCTCGCAGAATGAACTGGGACATAGAGGACCTCGTCAAAGTCTGGGTCCAGAGTATTCTTGTGAGTGACTGTGCGCGCTTTCTCGATGCCCGAGAGAAGCACTCTTACATAAGGGTCAGATTTGCCCAGGGTCTCAAAGTTGCGAAGGTCGCGTGCATTCTTGAAGTGGAAACGCATGACACCAATAGGAGTGGTGTAGCCGCCAGTACCAGCCACGACACCGGAGAGAGCGACCGGCTTCCACTGGGCCATCATCTTGACACGACCTGTTGCGACACCGGCCAACTGAAACCATTCCTGGCTCTTCCCCATGCAGTCAAGCAAGTCCTCGAGCTTGATCTGGTACTTCCCAATGACCTGGTCACCGGCGAGATCGCGCTCATCCTTGATCGTGACTCCGAGCTTGGCGTTCTTCTTGTCGGTAATGAGCATCTCCTTGGATCCATTGTCCCAGATGGGATTGTTGGTTCGCTTGAGCTTCTTTGTATGGTGGACGTCCCGGCCATTGAGATGGAGCGTCGCATAGGGGTTGAGAAGCCCCACGAGACTCTTGGTACCATCGAGATCCTTGGCCTGTTCCACGGTAAATCTAAGGATACCCGTGTTGGATTCTGGGGGCGGCTCCAAGGTGCCGTCGTCCAATTTCTTGGGTTCCATAACTGGGAAGAACCTGATATCGCACGATAGCTGGCCGCGGGCCTTGCCGTCAGCAATGACCTCCAAGACTTCGTTTTCATGGACGGCCAGTTCCTCAATCTGGTCCAAGGAGAATGACGCCACACCCAGCTCCTTGTGCTTCCTGAAGTCGTTGTAGTCGAAAACTTGGATATCGAGGGAGTCGTTGAAGGAAGTGATGATGATGTAGTGAGTTTCGTTCCAGCGCGGGTTTCCAGTGTCTTTGACATGCTTTGTACGGGCAAGCTGCTGGCGGCGGTTCAGAGTCAAAGCTGCGTAAGGGTCCGGAGCGCCAGAGAAGTTGTCGGGGTTCTTGAGTCCCTGGGCGCCATGGAGTGTAACAGCGATGACGCCGATAGCCTGGTCAACCGGGGTGCCGGCAAGCATCTTGGCAACTTCGATGGGGAACACGTTGGGTGAGTACATCATGGGAGCCAAGTTGCCGTGGATCTGCTCGAGGATGAAGGTCTCAAGACCGGGAATGAAGTTGATATCGAAACCGAACGTCTCGCCTCCCAGGGGCTTGCAGACGTAGTCAATCGTGGGCTTTTCTAGAAAACACATTTCCACCTTTTCGATGTGAGGGAAGGGGATTTGCAGCTTAATCTTGAGTTGCATGATGCCAGAGAAAGCCATATCTTCAACGATGACATCGAGTCCCTTGCTGATCATGGCCTTGCCGACTCTGATTTCCAAAACGACCTTGGGGCTGATCTTGTTCTTGATCTGTTTGTATGTCATGTCGGCCGTGTCGTTAGGGGTGAAGCTGAACTTCCAATCCATGATGACAGTATCGTCACCGGCTTTCGGATACGTTTTGACATGCTCCATGCGCGGTGGCTTGGAACCCAGTGTGAATGTCTTCAGCTTCAGGCTGTCCAAGAAGGCGGGCGTGGCCGAGCTCAACACCTGGTCAACCGAGTTGACGATGGTCTGGGCCAGAACAGGCTGGTAAATGGGCCAGAACTTGAGCATGAACGAGTTGATCCATTCGAGGGATTCAGTTTCTGTCTCCAACTTCTTCAGGGAAAGCTCCCGGTTGATGTCGTCGCGGAAGTTGCGTCGGACTCGCCGAATGGAAGTCCGGTAGTAGGTCGAGCAGACTGCCATGAGGATGAAGATCCAGCCGAGGCCACCACCCAAGACGGCCACGAGCCAGGACGAAATACAGGCGAAGCCAATGATTGCCGCATTGTGGTACCAGTCTCCGTAGAATTTGTCAGGGAGGTTGCTCTCGAGCCAGGTGGAGTGGTCCAGCAGACTAGCCCCCTCGTGAACGTCGTCGGAGGGCCAGCCGAACTGAGGAGACCATCCAGTTCTCGTATAAGGTTCTTCCTCGGTGCCCACGGGGTCCTCGCCGGCCTTGATGGGCTTTCCGTCCTTGTCTTTGGCAGGCTCAATGACACCTGCCTTGGTTGGGGAGGGGAGGTCGGCTACGGGCGCGCTCGAATCAGCGACGTCGGTTACGATGGAGACACCCTTGGATCGCTGGGAGTGGAAGCCTGGTGGGACAGCCTATAGGGAGGAGAGGGGTCAGTCAAGGTCGATTGGAGGCAAAGCAAAAAAGCAGGGTTGGATAACTCAC